GCATCTGTATCACCACGTAAAGTGTGCAAGGCGCCTCTCTTGCAATCTGCCTTCGTTGTTGTTTCATCGCCTGCAGTGCTGTTTGCGCCTCAGGGGTCAGTTGCCATTGCTTTTCGGGGTCACTTGGAGATTGATCTTTCAATCCATTGGATTGATGCAGATGCAGATTGCATATATTATATAGTATATAGTCATATGTATTATATATACGTATATAATTATATATATAATAATTTTCAAATCACCAGAAACCACCAGATCTGCACCAAGCGGATATGCAGAAGTCTCAGCTCTGGACCATGAGAGTCAAGAGTTCGACCCTTAAGAGTTTTACTCAGTACTCTGCGACTTTTGAGTCTCTGGTCTGAGCAAAATCTGAGGCACCATTTCTCATGAAAGTCGATTGTAAAGTCCTGGTACCTCCAAATTCAAGTGAACGAGTCTGCCTTATGAACGCATGTGTGCCCTGCAATTGATTGGACAAAGTCTGCACTTGTTGAAAGCAACCCGTGTCATGGACACATGGGGAAGCGTGGCGTAGCAATGTGGTTAGCTTATTAAATACTGTAGATATAGCAAAGGCTTCTGCGGGTAAATTTGGGGTAAACAAAATGACTAAATTTGTACTGTACATTGGAGCAAATCAATTCCCAAGAAGAGGCATGTCTTTTTGCTTCACTTGGCACAGAGTCTTAGAGCTATCGATCTGGCGTTCTGTGTTTTCTTTTGGTGGTCTTGTGGAACATGACTTCATGCTCTCAAAATCTCTCAAAAGATCTCAAAGGCGGTTTACAAACCCAACTACTAGCATCATGCATTTGAGGTAGGGGTTCAATCTAAACTATGCTGTGTCCACCCACATCATAGCATTTCGTGCCTCACCTGTGGTACATGTTGATCGATGGAACTTCTCTGTGGCCTTGTTCCGGTCGGCTCTCACCGGCTCTCACAGTCCCTTTGCCGCTGGTGGCTCATCTGAGGACTCGCAGGGAGACTCACTTGATGCGGCATCTTTGCCTGATGCAAAGTTGGAACGTTGGGGTTTGTCTGAAAATCGTGTATCCCAAAATCCAAGCGTCTATCATCAGTTTCCCTGTATATATATAATTATATATATATATATCATATATATATATATATTGCTATAATTGATTATAATTAGAGGAAATTGGAGGTATACTCCATTTCCAGACACAGCCAGACGTCAGCAAAAGATGGCTGATCAATCGGCATGCAGCAGCAGCATCTGGGCAAGTTGTGATCAAATTCCAAGTCTGCAACCAGCCGCAATTAACACCTACAAGGTGGTGCCCCATAGTTAGCTAAGTTGGTTTATCACTCTAAGAACTATGGTTTGTGACACTTGTAACTATAGGTAATGGCTTTATAACCAACTTGTAACTGGGGGGGCACCACCTTGTACCATATCTGTACCAACCATCATGCCTTTGCGATTTTTTGGTAAAACCCGGTGATTTTGGCCGTCTAGAAAATTGGACCAGCACAGAAGGCATCGGTTGTTCTACTTTCTACCGGAATATACGGGGATTGTAGACGCATGGATATCCTAGTGACAGTGCCGTCCATTTAGCGATGAGACCTGGACCTGGTGAATACTGAATATCCCAATGCTTACGGCTTAGCAATTTCTCAGACCTTCACCATCCAAATGTTCAGTGCTCAACGCCTGAAAAAAACAGCACTCAATCTGTTTCTATGAAAATTTGCGAATCAACAAAAATACAAAACACAGAATTGAAAATTGAAACATATCTCCGTAGCATTTTGGACCATAGAATGGACATACCCTCTGGTAAACATACAAAAAAACTATGGAAAATCACCATTTTTAATGGGAAAACCCACTATAAATGGCCATGTTCAATAGCTTTCTGTATGTTAGTTTACCAGAGGGTAAATGGACCATGTTCGACTCCGAAAGAACAAATCCGTCGACGTCGGTGGTTATCTTCTCGCCTTTCTGGCCTTTCGGGCCTTCCCTGCTTGGCATCTCCCGGCCTTGGCGTGGAAAATGACCGTAGCGGTGAATGGGTATATAATGGTATATAAATGGAACAAATAACTATAAGTGGTATATAAATGGTATATAATGGTATTTTAATGGTATGTATTATCTAATTTCAAGAGTAATGCCTGAGATGGAACATATAATCCTTGAGATGGCTCTTGAAATTAGATAAGGTATGTATAAAAAGGAAAATATACCAACAAGAAAATCATCAATAATAGCAATAATATGGAAACTCGTGATTAAACCATTGGATTTGACAGTATCCCATTTTCAGACACCCACTTGTAGATCACGTCTGTATTGTGTAGTCATACATCTAATGTTTTCCGATTTAAGTTACAGAGTATGGGGAAACAACAACTGCCCGTAAGATGATTGGAGATACCAATTCAGAAGACTTCCCATAACTATAAATGTAGTGGTATATATAACCTATAAATGGTATATATAACCTATAAATGGTATGATATGTGGTATATATAACCTATAAATGTAGTGAACCCAATGACTAGTCCGAATCGCTGTGAATCTTTAACCAGTTGGGGGATTTCTAAACCATAGCCAACACATATTGTTTGGTCCTAGGTTTACAACATTAGGACAACAATCTTCTGGATGCCTTGGGAATGTGTAGGGATGGGACAAATGTGTGGATTTACAGCCTTTTTTAAAGGCAATTAGTTGATGTTTACACACTAGGAATTAAGGTGTGCCCATATTTTGGCTTTCAATGCCCCATCAAATTATGTCAACTTTTCTTTTTCCTATCAGTGACATCAACAAACATTCGGTGTGCAGACAAACATACATATGTTGACAATGCAAATGGTTGAAATTTGCCCTACTGCATAAATGAAGAGCTGGGGTCCTGGCCAAAGGACATGTTGAGTCCAAGACTCAAGGGCATGCCGCCCATGCCAACCATTCCAATGCCAGGTCGAAGTGCCCTTGAGGGGTCTCCTACCATATCCCAAAGTGCTGGACCGCTTGGTGTTTGAGCAACTCATGAGCAACTCATCCAAAACATATTTGTCAAGTGGGATCATAAACCTCAAAGAATTAGGATTGATTGTACAAGAACATATTATCTAAAAACCACCAAGCAGAGAATGGGTCAACTATACTGCAGTTGTAGGACTGTTTTTCCGTCGTTCCTCATACACAACCCATCGTTGAATGATGTCGGCCATTTCCTTGTAGTTCGCCCAAGTTGAGCCAGTTTGATTGCTTTTGCCCCTGGTTGTTTAGTACAACTACCCCGTTTTTGTTTGTTAAGATACATACCTCATTTTTGCAGATCCTCCACTCACTGCAAATCGGCTCTTCCGATCTTCCCTTGGCCAGAATCACAAAATCCAACAAGAATGGATTGATTGTTGCTGCGAATCCAATATAAACTGTGCATAATTTTGTGAGAATCAAAATCCTAGGGATATCATACTGCGTGAATTTGATACAAGGGGTCATTTCAAGCCCCTGTGTCTACTCTGGATGTATGTGAAATTCATGTTTCAGTTTGCTCTTTACTACGTAGTTCGAATTGCCGTGCCGACAGCACTATACCTCAAGCATAGCCCTGGCAGGAATCCTGTTGGCCCTACACCTTGTATATTATCTCTGTAGCGTAGCAGTTAGTGGGCGAAACGCAATAGATAGAGATACTAACACAGAAGGTGGCTGCCTGACGAAGGGAGTGCGCTGGAAAACTTGTAGCGTGGTGCCGTGGCAATCTTCGCGATCGTTTTGCGGATTTGATGATTTGTTTTGTTGTTGTTTAGTTTAGTTTGTTTGTTTGTTATTCAGGGGTGGAGGGCGTGCTCGCGATAGAAAAACAATGATCCATATCTTTGTGAAGCATCATGCACTTGCCCAATCTCCGTATCAATCTGCGGTGCTCACAAGCGCGACAGCGTAGTGAGCTTTGTCAGTGAATTCATCTCCTACATCATTTCTACATTGTGCCTTCAGTGGTGCTTTGCATTGGTTGCCTTGGTTGCTTCTTGCAACCTTTATCAACTTTTCATATCATGTCCATACATCCGATATCATCCGATCTACGATATCTACGATCGTATCCGTTCAGTGGCGCATTTTAAGAGGCATTTCTATGGCCTTGCCCATGGGCCCTTTCAGAAAGTGGTCCCTGAATGGCGTCCATGAAAACATTATTCTGTGTCGTACATGCCATTCTTACCGGGCATTTCCTTGATAATGAGACCTTGGAAGGCCAGTGGCTTCAGTAAATGAAGTTGATCCCACAGGTTTGGACAGATGGTATAGTTTATTTGCCTGCCTTTGAATACGTACAGTGTCTTTGTTTGAGTTGGCTGGAATTCCAACCAATCTTCATGGGGACGATGCAACAGATATGTGATAAGTTTCACAGCATTCTTTGATTTTGCCTTAGGTTTTTGCACGCTGTCTCGTAGATCGCTGCTGTCACCTGGCTAGAAGAGATCTCACGAATACATAATTTTGTTGAGTAGGTTCATGGACAAGCCGTTGCAGATTGCATTTTTATTGGATCGGACTTGTTGGCATGGAGTTGTTACAGCTTGGTTGAACCATATTTTGTATTTGGCTTGGAGACCGGAGGGTGATAGCGATGATGTGGGCTTCACATATTTGGGCGGCATTTCTTGCAAGTATGAAGATAGTTAGTAAGTGCAAGAGGGGATGTTGTGAACGTAGCATGAAGATAGTTAGCAAGTGCTACAGAATATATTGTTAACGTAGCCTGAATATAGTTAGCAAATGCAAGATAAGATGTGTTAACGTAGCATGAATATACTTAGCAAGTGCAAGAGAAGATCTTGTTAACGTAGCATGAAGATAGTTGGCAAGTGCAAGAGAAGATCTTGGTAACGTAGCATGAAGATAGTGTGCATGTGAACATGACCGTTAATAGCCCACCCAACCCCCATCCCCACAAGCAAAAGCGATGAAAATCTTGTCCGGTTTCCCCCCGCTAGCAAAAACATCCCTGTGCACATCGTCTAAGTTGGCAGCTCTCTGTCGGGCTCTTGTGGCACGACTGGCAGCGCATGTGGCCAGGGGTTGAAATCGGAGAGAAATTGGAGCTTTCATGAGCTTTCTACAGGTCTAATCAGGTCTTGAGGGTACAAACATGGTATAAACATGTATAAACATGGTATAAACAAAGAACATCGGAATTTCTTTCAGCTTCAGTATCTTCAAACCTGGCCCGGGCTGGAACGAACTGAGCCAGGCCTGGAGCTTCCCAATGGCTCTTGAAGTTCGACCAACTGGGCGGCATGGATGGCATCCTCTTGAGCAAGACGGACCTGACGGAGATCCACGGCTTGTTATGCCTCCATGTTGTTCAATATGTGGGGCTTTCGAGGTAGATGGTGTCCAAATATGTTCCTTTTGTCAAAACATGGACAAACGCAACATTATGCAACAGCATGGCCAGAATCGTAAAACAACCTATGATATTATAATATATATATAATATCTAATTATATATAATTAATATCATACAATACACATATAATATAATTATATATATAGACATATGAAGTCAACTACAAATCAACAAATGCCTAAACATGCCATAAGGGCCATAGAGCCGAAGCGTGCATGAAATTGCCAACAGTTGGGGAACATGAAACAATGGAGGCAGACATGGAGGAGGAAAGACAGTGCAGAAAACAATGTCAAACAACAAGAATCAGCACATATCTAATGGAATGAGTCCAGAGCTGGTCAAAAAATATCAGATATTTTAAGATCATATAAGATCAACCAACATCTACTGCGAATCCTGAAACAATAATCTAGACGACTCAACCTTTACAAACCTAGCACAACAACACACGTCAGCTATAGATACTATAGATTGCAGCTGAGGCCATTCACCAGTTGACATGTGTAATGCTCATCACGGAAGGACCTCGGCTTAGGGTCACTGCACTGGCACAAGTCATCGGCAAAACCATGCTAATTTAGATCTCGTACTCTCGTATCTTCCCAAACATCAACCATGACCTCTACACCAGTTGAACATGGGGCCCTAGTGGATTGGATGGGGCCCTGGGCTTCGATGATACCAGAACTGACGAATCCCACTCTCCATCTGGGAACTTCACTGGTTTTGGAGGAAGCCGCCAGAACGGATCCCAGAGCCTCTCATTTTTACCCGAATGGGCTGCACACTGCACCAAAAAAGATCATAGAAGTTTTTGATGGAACCCATACAACGATGCCTTTTTCATCCTTTTTCTGTACTCAGCCAGTCAGCCCAATCGCCGAGTGCTCTAACTTCAGCGCAGGCGTGTCATGTGAAGCAGGCTCCCCACCTGCAAGGCATCTGCAGGGCAAATCTTCGGCGCCCAGAAACCAGGACCACCCACACCGCTCCGAGCGGCCATGCCTGGTGGAGGAAATGGCGATTGTTTTGAAGTGGAACTGTGGAACGAAAATATCACCGGATGGTGGTGATCATGATCATGATCACGATCATGATGATGAGGATGATAATGATGATGGTGATGGTGATGGTGATGGCGATGGTGGTGATGATGATGATTATTATTATATATACAGTATTATTATCATTATCATTATTATTATCGCGATGTCCTTCATCCTAAGGATTATATACATATTGTACCAGAATCATACCAACCTATACCAACCAAATTATAGCAGCTTATTCATGTCTGGTATAATTAACCCTGCTAAACATGATCTATGATGATGTCCCAGGTCGTGATAATTTGCTCAAATGGATGGAGCGACACTTACAGTATAACACTTGGAGAAAAACACGCGAACAAACCGGAAATGGCTATATGATGCTATACGGAAATCATGAAACATGTAGAAATCATGAGAAACTTGGACACTGTATAGCACACACCTTTGCAAAGTACAGTATTGTACCTGTGAAGGTCAACAAATACTATATGGAAATGTGATGAAATGTTGTGTGTGTGTCTGTTTTCCTTGACTTGCTTGCCCAACAACTGCAGTTCTACTCTTGAAACGGCAGACATGCAACGATTCAAGAACAGACCATGATTACGATGGGATGTCAGCCATGTACAGTCTGGTCGGTGGTTCCACCCCATATCCAAATATATATATATATATATGCTTGTCAATCTGAATCATCACCCCACATTCCGAATTCCATATATTGAATTTTTGTTTCCATGTTTTGTCATATTTGATTCATAGCGTTTCCAGATTACTTTTACGTATGTTTCTCGCAGATTTCCACATATATGGGTGGCAGTGTCGTTGGAATATCCAGATATATTCCTATGGGGGTACCCCAAGTCACCATGGGTTTCGTTAAACTATGTCACTATGTCATTGTTATCCATGACGACTGGATGATTTGGGGCTACGCCCATGACTTAGGAACCCCTCATAATCCCTCATACATATTCCTACAACATGTTCCTGGTTCCAACTGTTCACAGTCCGCCGAGGCACCAATCTCAGCCCAAGGGCCCCACTGCAAGCTCAAGGCAGGCAAACCTGCGCCCAGTGTGAAGCCAAAGACGGAGGATCTCATTTTGATGCAGGGGATTTAGACATGCTGTATCCAGCTCTGAACAACCATCACAGTTGTTTGAACTGCTCTGCCTGTAGTTTTTTAAAAAAACGTCAATAAACGCAGAGGATATGCAATGAGGATCCCACTGAAAGCGATGCTTCGAGGGACCTTTCGCTTGTCGATGCGTGGCAAAGGAATCAAGGAAGGAATTTGCAGCTGCATAGTTGCCCTGCCTGCACAGACAAAAGCCCATGGAATCCCAGGGAGCATGTTCACATATATATGTTCACCTGACATTACGTATGGTGTAGAAAGTGTAAATGTCGCTGGCCAATCTGCACCTTTGCAAATATGTGTCAGAAGACTTTGCATGTTAATTGTGCTAAACATACAACGCTGAGGGTGCACCAACTAGTAAACATACCTCAATATTGGCTTCCAAGTGACGCATGCACCTAGACCCTCAATCGACTGATGTTAAAATCAACCCCAACATTGCTTGTTGGTACTGAGTACTACTTCCCATGAAAAACAACATTTTTTCCACAGCTGAGCAATGTTCAAAACTCTGTGTCTTCCCTTCACGGGATTCCCAGTGGATTATGACCATCCCAAATCATCAAGCATCTGCAGAGTTATATCCACGCTCGATGGCTCGTTATAGTTTGATGCTTAAAACATCTTAAAACCCATAACTATAACTATAGTATAACTATAACTATCATAACTAGTTTAATACCATCCAGTATAGTTATCATCAACCATCACTTATTAAATGATAATATCCCCATACTGTATGATGGTTTTCCACTACTAAATGACAACAATAAATGACAATAAATGACCAACTAATCATCAATAATCAACAGGGGTAGATTGCAGCCACTGAGTAAATATCAATATATTGATAATATTACAATATTAATGAACCATGATTTGTAATATTATCCATAATTGTATTAATACATAGATATTATCGATTTGTAGATATGACAGTAATATATTATCTGCTACATCATCATATATTGGAAATCCATGACTGGCCATTAGTCATGCTAATAATCATGGATATGATCAATGTAATTGTACTCATATCCATACAGCCAGACCGTTATGGCCCGGTTATAAATGGGATCAGCTAAACTCCAGGAACTCAGGTGATATATCTATATCCATATCTATATCTACATGGGTGTTGATCAAAATAAAGGTATCTGGGGCCAGCTACAATCACCGATCAATCGCGAATCAACCGGGATCTCAACGGTGTCAATCACAGTATTTAGAGACATGGCGTGAGCCAGGGCCTAGTCAGGCAGGTTTAACAATCGCGGAGCAATCGCGGAGCAATCACGAATCACGGATCAACCGCGAACCAATCGCGGATTTCATCGACAGTTTTTGAAAATTGAATTGATCTGGGTTGTTAAACTTTGAACTTGTTGTTCTGATTCTTCTTTGCTATTGGCTATCACTATTGAACACAGTCTCTAGGCAGACCCGAATACAGTATAAGGCTGAAATGTAACATAGATATCATGGAATTAAAATATAATATATTGATTTTTCCTCTTACAATAGTTGATTCTTATACAGCAAATGTTTTGTCTCAATCGCAAAACCAATCGGCGATTAATCGCAAAGCAGGGATTTACAATCGCGGATGCTGAAATCACACGCCCTTTCATAATTCATATATTTCTTAGACTTGCATTTGCGATCGGCTCCCACATATATATATATAATTATACACATTACATGTACATATATATAAATATCTATACATATATATATATATATATTATCAAAAGAAGTTTAGGGGGAGAAACTTCCGTGTTACGGACTTTTAGAATGTCAGGGAAAGAGTTAGTCAAAGAAACAGTTAGTGAGGGAAAGAGTTAGTCAAAGAAAGAGTTAGTCAAAGAAACAGTTAGTCAGGGAAAGAGTTAGTCAAAGAAAGAGTTAGTGAGGGAAAGAGTTAGTCAAAGAAAGAGTTAGTCAAAGAAAGAGTTAGTCAGGGAAAGAGTTAGTCAAAGAAAGAGATAGTGAGGGAAAGAGTTAGTCAAAGAAAGAGTTAGCAAAGAAACAGTTAGTCAGGGAAAGAGTTAGTCAAAGAAAGAGTTAGCAAAGAAACAGTGTCAGGGAAAGAGTTAGTCAAAGAAAGAGTTAGTCAGGGAAAGAGTTAGTCAAAGAAAGAGTTAGTCAGGGAAAGAGTTAGTCAAAGAAAGAGTTAGTCAGGGAAAGAGTTAGTCAAAGAAAGAGTTAGTGAGGGAAAGAGTTAGTCAAAGAAAGAGTTACTCAAAGAAACAGTTAGTCAGGGAAAGAGTTAGTCAAAGAAAGAGTTAGTCAAAGAAACAGTTAGTCAGGGAAAGAGTTAGTCAAAGAAAGAGTTAGTCAGGGAAAGAGTTAGTCAAAGAAAGAGTTAGTGAGGGAAAGAGTTAGTCAAAGAAAGAGATAGT